ATCTGAGCCTCATTGGCATTCATGCTCCTGTCCCTTTGCTTGGGCTGCCCATCACTCTGCTCAAATACCTTTCTCTCCCCCTCTTTTCTCCTTCTAAATCCAGCTCATTGTCAAAGGATCTGTTTATGTGCCACCTTCTTCATGTATCTGACTGCTCTGGACCCTACCAGCCATTTCTTTCTCTGAGGCCCTCTTGCATTTATAGCAATCCCATTCAATTTATATCTCAATTGCTCTACATTTGCTTCACATAAGCTGACCTTGGCTCTCTAAACTGTGTAATAAGCTCCTCACAGAGGCATATACAAAGCATGCACATCGCTGGTATTTCTCTCAACTCTCATCTGCATAATGCCAGGTAAGCCACAGGAAGCTTTCTGTACATACCTGCAGCTCATCATGATGGTTCATTCATGTCAGAAAAGCCTTAACTTTTTGATATTAGGATACTCAAATAATGCCATCAAATCGTGTTAAAGAAATGTTCATTATTACTAGAATTAGTAATGACGTCCTTTCCCCTCATGGAGACTCAACCCCAATTATTTTCTTTATGATTACAATGCTTTTTAACCATGATTAAGTTCTGTTATGGTGGCTTGTTTGTTGATTAGAAATGGAACCTGCCCATGGAGGTCAACGTGTAATTGTCTGGCCAATGCTAAATGTAGCCAGGGACACCCCCACACCTGACGGTCAAACCAAAGGTGTATGTGATGTTTTTAACACTGGTGAAGAGTTTAATGGCTACTGATTTTGAACTAAGAGCTGATTAGGAATGGTTCAATTTACAACTCATCCTTAGAAAATGGAAACGGAGGCCCATAGGTCTTGTCTTTTGACTTCAGAGACTTCCCTTCCTCTCACAACAATACAACGAATGAGTACTATTTCTCACGGCCATGGCTGAAGTCAACTACTATGATGTCCTCTAAGCTTCGAATCTCTTACACGAGAGTTTGCACAAGGGGACTAAATGTGACCTCTATGGAAAAGCCAGCTGCTGGTCATCAGGGTCCAATCCCTGTGGTTTAAGGAGCAGGCAAGTCTCCTCCTGAGTTTCTAAGACTTTTGCATATCTGCATTATTTTTACCTTACTTCTTACCTTTGACCTTTGTATATTGGAGATATTCTGTTGCTCTAGTTTTAAGGATAATTAGAAATCAAAACTTTGACATATATCTAATAATAACTTACCCTAGCATTTTATCATTACAACTCAAATTGACATGTCTACTTGGATTTTAACAACTAAGAAAAGCTAAGAAGAGCCCTTGGTTGGAAGCCCTTCAAAAGTATCTAATTAGGCTAGAGTTGTTGTGCTTTCTGCAAAATGAAGCAATGGAGTCCTTTCAGCATTACGCGAACAGTTGTTTGAATCTTTTATCAGATCGGCTTTCTGCTCATGTCAAGGGGAATAATTCTCTTTGTGTAAAAGTGGCTTTGAAGATTAATAAGGAACAGAATGGGTACATGTGGATTTATGAGCATTTAAAAATAATTTTAAATGTCTTTGTGTACACTTCAAGAAAAAAGGAGGTGACTCACATTCTTGATAGATTGTCTTACGAGAAAGACATAAACGCTTGTGTCTTTGATTTAGACTTAGGTAAATTTGACAAGAGGTGGCTTTTAGGTCTCCCTGGGAACTACAACAAACTTTTAGGACTGAATTTTATTTCAAGAAGAAATCCTAAGCCTATGACGCTCATCGGCTCTGGTCCCTGCTGACCTGTCTTTAAACATGAAAACATATCATAGACCCAGAGCGGTTGCAGCAACAGGCAGCGAACTCAGAGCTGCTTAGGAAGTGCAAGGGTCTGCCTCCTGACTCTATGAGCAAGAGTCAAAACCAAGCCCTGGAATCCTTGCAGCTGCAGTGTTTGCTCCCTGTACTGGAAACATAAGTGTGTGTGTATTTTTGTGCATTTCTTTACAGGTACATCATTTGTTTAAATTAATTTTGAAAGATGGCAGCCTCCTAGTCATAAAAACAAAAACCAGGCTAGGTATTTCAAGCAGGAAGGGATTTAATAAAAGGATTTGGATTTGAGCTGTTTTGGAAGGGCTAGAAAAGCGAGGAGAGAGATGAGGAAGGACTGGTCCCGCAGAGCCCCTGCCCTGCTCCACAGCCTTACAGAGCCTGTGGGCCCTATCCCTTTGCCCCCGTGTGGCCAGGGAGTGGTTAGAAGCATTGGCTGACTTCTGCAGCCACGAACCACTGCTGTCGCTCCCACAGTGAGAGCTGGAGCTGGTGCCACAGCCAGAAGCCGAATTCCCACTACCTCCCACCTGCCTTCTGATCTTGCACTACCCTTCCCACCTCCCCCATGCCCCTACTGGCAGAACCTAAACGGAACCCTGCTGGCAAAGGGTTCTGGGAATGTAGTTTCCACCCCTCCAGCGCCTGAGATGCAGAATAAAGCACAGAGGGCTGACAATATGTGGCCCAAAGGTGATCATAGAAAATATTTAGGAAATGTTAAGTTATCATAGTGCTTTAACCACTTAGACATTTATTTTAAATTAATTTCATTTGAATATGAAGTATGAAAAAATCCTTTTGGACAGTTTCTCTTCTGGGAGAGTGAAAAAGATAATCAGTTTTATATTAAAGAATATTTTGTGAGTTTAAAGAATATTTGGGAGGCATTTAATTCACACAATTCAAAAGCAGCTGAACCAATTTATCAAAAGGAGAGCTCTTCCTGGGTTTGCTGTGTCGTCTCTGAAAGGCATGTCTGTATATGTAGCTAACCCAGTTGTCTGAAGTACAGCTGAAGGAAGCAAATTCTACTCTTTGGGAGTTTATATTTGACACTGGTTGGTACTTTTTCTGAAGCAGAATGTTTTCTCTGGCAGTTAAATCGCCTGTTTGATTTCTGGGATTTTCATATACTTTTATTCTAGTTGCATTTTTTTTATGTTTAATTCTAATGGGTAATTATTTCAGATAAATGGTCATCTGCAAGTTTACTTAAGATACAATTGTTCCATCTTGAGAAACCAATACCTACAATGATGATAAAACTCTTTTAAATGACCACGATTACTACTACTATGCATATATGTGAATCTTTGTATTTCTTTGATCTCCATAAATCTTCTCAGCAACTCTGTGAGTTGGGCCAGTTCCTACTGCCCCCCATTTTTTTTCCAGCTCTGTTAGGTGTGGAACCAAGACAAGAAGTTGGGTTCTACAGATAAATATGACAGTACGCTTGTGAATATGTATCTATGAGACTACTCACAATTCCTAGTCCAACAGCTTTAATTTTCTCTTCATGCTACAGTCTAAAGCAGTGGTCTTCAGGCGGGAGTAAGCATGCCCTTTGGAGGTATGCCAAGACCGTCACGGGGTGGAGGGACTGGGTACTTTTAAGGGAATCAGTGTTCAGAGCTTCAACTCACATGTGTCCAAAATGGATTTGCCTGAGAATATGACTGTGATGAGGATAAGGTTTCCATCTCTAACATCCTTCTCCCACTTTGCGAAAGGAATCTTATCTCTTCCCCCATCCTATGATGCATTGACTTGGGGTTTTAAATCCTGTGGGGAACCAAACAAGGGAACAATTTGGAATATTGGTTTTGGAATTAAGAAAATAATTAGAAAGAAAGTAAATGACTCTAATGACTCGATTAAACAACTTTTTGTAGGTCTAGTGGTTTCCATTTCTTTCCTTACAGCAAGATTGTAGGAGGATTTCAATGGCATGTTTGTTAATAGAAAAGTAAAAATAATTTTGAAGCCATGCTGTGGCAGCATCCCATATAAAGTAGAGGAAGATGGGCATGGATGTTAGCCCAGGGCCAGTCTTCCCCAGCAAAAAAAAAAAAAAAAAAGAGGAGGATTGGCAGATGTTAGCTTAGGGCCCATCTTCCTCACACAAAAAAAAAGAAGAAAAAAAAAAGGGGGCCAGCCCGGTGCCACAAGCGATTAAGTGCGCATGCTCCAAAAAAAAAAAAAAAAAAAGAAAAAAAAAAGGGGGCCAGCCCGGTGCCACAAGCGATTAAGTGCGCATGCTCCGCTGTGGCGGCCCAGGATTCACTGGTTCGGATCCCAGGCGCGCACCGAGGCACTGCCTGTCAGGCCATGCTCTGGTGGCGTCCCATATAAAGTGGAGGAAGATGGGCATGGATGTTAGCCCAGGGCCAGTCTTCCTCAGAAAAAAGAGGAGGATTGGTAGATGTTAGCTCAGGGCTGATCTTCCTCAAAAAAATAATAATAATAATTTTGATGATAGATTGCTAGGTAAATCTTGGCGTAACTGAGAAGGAAGCAAAAGAATTGAGTAACATTGCTGTAACAAAACTCTCTCCATTCCCATTAATTTATTTATACAGACAAGGTTTCTTGGCACATACATTTATAAAAATGAAAAACAGGAATAGAATTGATATTGAGTCCTAACTCGTTCTGGTAATAAATAATCTTCATCCACAGATTACACGAACTAACTGGAAAACTCCAGGCTCTGTTAACATTCTTCTAGAAATGGAGAGGTGCATTTCCAACAAAATTTTACTACTGTGTAATAATTCTTTTTCAAAACTCATCATCTTTTATGTTTTTATCAATTATGGTCTAAAAGTAACTGTTAATTATAACTCAGTCAGAAAGGATTCTAATACTTAGAGACATTGTCACAGGAAAATTTTTTAATGAAATGGCAATTTATGTACATAATTTATTACACACAGCAGTATTTATTTACCTCACCATTAACACAATGCACATTAACACAAAACACAATAAAACATTTTCAACATAAAATATTAGGATATAAGTACTGGGAATGAAAATAAGAATTCAAAGAGAAAAAAATTGATGTCAAACTTTAGACTATTGAAGAACTTGTTTTTACTGGATGATGGTAGGTGTCAAATGGCTATGGTATTTAGACTCTATTGGATACAGTTGAAGAATGATGTAACAACATGATTTTAAAGTGTCAGTATTTATAGTATACTGGAAATTACATCCTTGACAGTTATTGAAACTGACAAAGAAAACCTTTATATATCATGTAAAAATATGCATGTGATACATTTTTAAAATTTGAGTATATGAGCAAAAATGTGTCAAGATCACTGATCTGGAAGAAAGATCAGGTGTCTTGAGGATAAGCATTGCCACGTGTCTCCCGTGTGTTTTCTTTCCTTTTCCAGTTTGACCTCGTGTGTGTCAATGCGTGGATGCTGGACCTCACACAAGCCATCCTCAACCTGGGCTTCCTGACGGGAGCGTTCACCTTAGGCTACGCGGCGGACAGGTAGGTATGGATATGACGGCCATTTTACATCACTAGAATATGACATATATGTGTGGAGACAAAAATGTTTTATGTTAACTATTAAAAACTATTCTTGCTAAATTTGGAAAAAAATCTTAATTCCTCTACTCATGACAATTCACACTTATTTGGTTTGATTAGTTCTTTCCTTCTTAAACTGGGTCTCTTTATTCCTTGAACTATGCAAATGGACGGGGCTGCTCCTGGTAGATCTGAAAGCATCTGGGTGGAAACGCAGACCAGCAAGGCAGTGACTGCTTGGTGGGGCTGACGGCTGGCTGGCTGGACACTGTGGAGCTGATTCCATGTGCTTCACTAACTCACTGGTTGTGGTTTGGTTGATCGAGTCATAAAATCAGCCCTTTCCACATTGGTTTCACTTAATTTTTAAGGAAGAAATCCCTGTATTTTATGCTACAAATTTAAAAATCTGTGAAAAAAAGTTTTTCCAAAACCATTAAAAGAACTTTATCTATTATTTAACATTTATAAATATAGCAGTTAATGGCAGACACAGTGAGTGTCTATATTCAAGATAGTCATGCTTTCTGTTCAAATATTCCTGTTTCAGACATTGTTCATATTGGTTATCACATTTATGTTTAACTACTCCTTTATCCCAATTCCAACTCTGAAAATACTTGCAGTAATTTAATTATTCTGTCTATACCCCTTAGGACCAGGACAGGAAAGCTTGACCCTTGGCCGTAGCTGGTCCTTGTGACGATGCCTGCAGTGGGCAGTGCTCAGGGTACCACTTAGAGAACTGCCAATAGCCATTAATTAGCTATTAATTAGCAATTAATTATCTAATTCAAGACAAGAAAATGTCCCAAATCCTGTAGCCAGTTGATGGTCTGAGTTTGACCAGGCCAGAACTTCAAAATGGGTAGAACCTTTGGTTTCTTCTACTGTCTTTTTATTTGTCTCTTATTTTTCTCTTGCGGTCCCCAACCCTCTCTGTATCTGACTTTCTCCTTATTCCTTTTGTGCCTGACGCTCTTTTCCCCTTTTGCTCTCTTTTCTCTGTCTTTTTCAACCGTTTCTACTTACAGTCCTTGCTATTCATCTTTCCTTCCTTAATCCCCCCCATACATCACTTTCTCTCCCAGCTGCCTATGATTTGGAATTGAGTTATATGTTTTCAACACATATTTCTTTAATGTTATTGTTATTCCTCCTAATTTAAATATTAGGTTTTGCATCTTCTGCCTGTTTCTCTTTGACAATCAGTAAACATATCTCCAAACTGAAGTAACTCAACTAAAGGAAGGGGGCTTTTCCTGCCTGTGTTCTGGGAGGGGACTGAACATGTGTCCTCAGAGATGACTTGCTGCTTTGGAGAGGAAGACAGACCTGTGAATGATTCTGCCTCACCTCAGGGCCAACCATCTTTAGCTCCTTCTCTCCTTTATATCTTGAAGGAAAGGAAGAGAAACAATTTAATAGGCCACATATCTATGAGAGGACAGTGTAGGAAGGGCAGAGAGTGAATTTAAAAACCTAGATAAACCGAGACGACTTCTCTCTTCACTCCGCTGACTGAAGCAAGATGCTGTATGTGTGAATTTGGTGGAAATTTCTATGGGAAAATGTCTTTGAATCAAATCTCTTAAAGGTCATTGACGATAGACTCTCAGAATATTGTGCACAATATCTGTTCCTTTTTCCTACGCCATTTAATAATAGTTTTCTAAATGGTGAAAATAAAATATAAAACTTAAGAACAACTCACATGGGTTGAACTTTCTGGTTGTACAGAGCTTTCACATCAGCAACTCATTTGATCCTCTCTGCAGCCTCACTGTAGAAAAGGTGAAACACACACACAAACACACATAAGCAAACAAACAAAACCTGAGTCTTTGTGAATGTAAGAAATTTAGCCAAAGTCGCCTGCTTGGTGAATGGTTGAGCCAAGATTGAAGGCCAGGCCTTCTGACCGTAATGTCCATTGCTGCTTCTTTCTACCCCTTTCTCCTTCTGACTCGACCCACAAAAGTACTAGAAAGTGTCAAAGCTGTGCCACCAGGGAGATTGTGTGTGAAAAAACAGTTGTAATAGAGAGGGTCATCTTTTTGGGAACTGCAATCCCAAAGGATGCATTCTGTGCTTTAAACTTTGTAAAGTCATTTCAGAGGCACTTGTTTTTATTTGCCCTGGTTTTGCTATAAAACAAAATGTAGTGTTTTCAGCAATCCTTTACATGGTAATAATGAAGTCATGGAGGACAAAATTTCTGTACTTCAGCCTCTTTTAACAACACTTAAAATGAGTCTTTTTCATTGTGTTGAAGAAAATATGTAAAGTGATCTCTTTTCCTCTCTCTTTCTCAAAAAGGTATGGCAGAATAGTGATTTACTTACTATCCTGTTTCGGTGTTGGCATCACTGGTGTTGTGGTGGCCTTTGCACCAAATTTCCCTGTGTTTGTGGTCTTCCGCTTCCTACAAGGCGTGTTTGGAAAGGGGACGTGGATAACCTGCTACGTGATTGGTAAGATTGCTACACCTCCTTGTCTGTTTGAGAACCAGGTTAGGTGGGTGGGAAGTACCAGCTAGTCAGCCTTCCTCCTGTATGTAGGGTGAGGCTTCATCAATGTAGCAGTAATTATTTATGCAAATAGGAAGGTTCAGGGGCAAGATTCTGACTCTTTAGAAATTAAAATGCCAACTCACTTTGGGAACCAAATCTGGAAATCACAAAATACCTGGGTGAACCACTTTCTAGCACCGCCATATTGTTAACTCATGGTCTCTTGCTTTGCTTTATTAGAGATTAATTTTATAAAAATTTCTGTAGCTCTTTGAAACATTTTGGAAGCATTTTCTGTGTATTTCTGTGATATAGTTTTGAGATGACATTCCTGTGTTCTCAAATATTATTTCATTAATTCTCTTCCTTCTGTACAAGTGGAGAACTTTTTAGCCATGCAGGGGATATGACCTAAAAATGAGAAGTTCGTTTGTGACCCTTTGCTATCTTCCAAAACTAGAAAGTTTGACATTCTGAAATGAAAGTATCATACGAAAGAAAGAAAAAGTTCCTTTTCCTCTTTGCTCATATTGCCAGGAAAAGTCCTGGCTGCTAACTTTGGCTCTGTTTCCAGTAGCGTCCGGGACACACCACCTACTCTAAGAGTCATGGTAGATTCATGACCAGGGAAATGCGGATGCTTCTCTCCGATTATCACTCCAGATCTTTGGGCTTCCACTCTCTTTTGTTACTGCTAGACAATACCACCCCAAGCAGTACCCACTTTGGAGACCCTTTGAAGATATTGCTATGGGCAGGGAAGGAGAGAGAGTACTAGGAGGATTCACTGTCAATGGCTGGGGCAGAGGGGATAACTTTGGGATATGAAGTGTTTTTAAGGAGACCCAAGTCTAAGTGAATTTTCAAAGCTGTGATCCTAGGGTACCAATAAGGTAGGACCATATCCCAGAATGATCGAAATAGAATTAGTAACTGATAGAAACCAATTAGTGGGAGGGGAGAGAGTGGAGGAAAGGCTGCCAGCAATAAAATTCCTCCTGTGATTTTTAAAGAAATAGCACATAAATGAAAAGTCCAACACTGTGGAGAGGGTTATCATTTGATAGAAACTATCTGTGATAGTGAAAAATTATTTGTAGAGTCTAATGTTTATAATGAATCTCCACAAGAGACTATAATATGCAAATCTTTAGAGATCCAGTGATAAAATCTAGCCAGTTTATTATATTTATGTTTTGATGGTTACAATTACCTGTCAAAATAGTCATCATTTAAGCTTTCCTAAACCAATACATATATTCTTTGTATTCCTCTACTGTACCTAGAAGAGTGCTGGGCTGGGTGTGTAGGAGGAGAGACAAATGTTTCTTGATAATGGGCAGAGAAGAGAGGGAGAGGAGAGCACCTTCATTATCTGGAGAGCACATCTCTATCATGTCGGCAAGTATGAAAGCCTCGGTGTCTTTGAGAATCCTGGAGTATTCTAGCTACGCTGATGGATGTGACGGGTGGAACATCTCTCTGTTTATTTTGGAGCTGACCTCGAGCTTTCCTAACCTCTCTGTTTGTTTTCCTTCAGTGACAGAAATAGTGGGTTCAAAGCAAAGACGGATTGTGGGAATAGTGATTCAAATGTTCTTCACCCTGGGAATCATAATTCTCCCCGGAATTGCCTACTTTATCCCCAATTGGCAAGGGATCCAGCTAGCCATAACGCTGCCTAACTTTCTCTTCCTCCTTTATTACTGGTAATGTGGTTTTGATCATTATTCCGTTTGTACTTATTCTACAGAAATGTAGACTGTATGCTTCCAAACCAATGTGAAAATGAGAGCAATTAAGGAGATTTTCTAACATCTCCAGAATGGCTATGGGCTTTGAGAACTTATAGAGAATTTGAGAATTTATAGAGATTATGAATTGATTATTTGATTAATAGTTGTCATTAAAATAAGTTAATAAAATACCGAAACACAAAATTCTAAATTGTGCATTCCATGATATTTTATTATTTTGTAATATCTTCATGAAAACTATAAGGCAACAAACCATATCCGCTAGTATTTCAACATGCAAATTAAATGCTTTGAAATAGATTTGCTTCTCTGTATGTCCTAGTAAGCAAATTAATATTACTCAGGAATTCTCTGAGGAATAAGAAAATGTTAAGAGCATCAGAAAATAAAGTTATCAGGAAGCTACAGGTGTACACAGTCAACTCTTATTAGAGTGAACCTATTTGAAACATTCCTCTAATTTAATTTTAATATATGGGCATGACAGTTTACATCAATTGGTTCTTAACCTTTACCTAAATGCTCATTAAATCCAAATTCTTTTCATGTGTGTAATCAAGGACGCTATAGTCGAGGATAGCCTGGTCTTGCAAAAGTAATGTAATATTGATTATTTTTATTATGAGCAACGATCCAGTTATCAAGTGAGAATTTTCCCCTTCCATTATAAACTTGCTAAGATAATCTACATTTCAGAGAGCCTATTCTAAACTTTCCAAACCTCTTAAACTTGTGTCTAATCGCAAGATCCGTTTTGATAGAAAAACTCAATTCATAAACTTTTAGGTTCTGAAATTCCTAGGCATAACTCAAAAAAGCCTTCTTCTCTCCAGGGTAGTTCCTGAATCTCCCCGCTGGCTGATTACTCGAAAGAAAGGAGATAAAGCATTAAAAATCCTGAGGAGCATTGCCAAATGCAATGGAAAATATCTCTCACCGAATTACTCGGAGGTAATTTTCTTTATTACTAGTAACAAATATTGTTAAAGTGAGTGAATTAATTTGTCACTTACAGACATATTATCAGACATCTGACTAAATCATTTTCAGTTTGGCTTTTAAAAAGAAAAATAAAAACGTTGGGAAGAATCATAAGATGTATTAAAGAAGAAATAATTTTGAAGTTATAATAGCATTAGAGTTTAGGTTAATTCGTCATTTAGTCCATGTTTTAATAATTGTACCAAGTTACTTGAATTATTATACTTTACTTACTATAGGCTCCATAGTATTTAATCTTTCCTCTTGATTGCACAAACTATAAATCTTGACATTCAGTTTAGTCTAAAGATTTGTCTTTAAATTTAGTCTTGGAAATATTATTTATTTGAACCAAAGCCTGAGCTATATAATGTAATATTTCAGCCTTTAGACTTACATATGCTGCTGTTCTGCCTTCCCTCCCTCCCTCCCTTCCTTTCTTCTTTTCTTCCTTCCTCCAACAGCGACTTTTTAGTGCCTCTATATCATTGCGCTAAGAGAAGTAGGTGGTGGTGGGGGGGGGGGGTGACGGGTAGTTAAAAGCTCATTCTTTGCCCTCTGGAAGATTTGATATGCAGTTGAAGACGTAACATATATACTTGAAGCAACCTCTGAATAGCATGTAAAGAAATATATGACAAAGCTTTAGCTGCAGAATAACAGAAAGTGAATACAGAATAACAGAAAGCTTACTATAAAAGGAATGTTAGAGAAGAATTTTTGGAAGATAGGAATCTTGATATAAACCTTAAAGAATATTAAGTTGCTATCATTGTTTTCTTCATAGCGTTCCGTTTGTTTCGATAGAAAAGTTCTGATAAGAAACAAGTTTTGTTGGTTTTATTGTCACCTCCCCCCCCCCCCAGAACCTGGTCAGATATATGTGGATTTCTGCCTTCTCCCCTCCACTCTTACAGGAAGCAGCAAGCAGTAGACTGTGTTTAAGAGGTTTAAACTGGCCAGTTGTCACTGTTGGAAGTGGATTAATGATGTACCTTGAGGTTTACAGATCATAAAATATATGGTAAAGATAAAACATGATTTGTTTTAACTGCTAAGGACTAGTTGGTCCTTGTCATTCTTTGAGCACATTTGAGCTGTGTATTCCTTTTAGGGAAAAAAATATCCCACTGCCCTTCCAGCTTGCTCTCATGTGCTGTCAGTTTTCAGAGCTAGGTCAAATATATGATAATTTATACTCAATTTTAGAGTCAAATGAATATTTGTGCTATTCATTCAGCAGTATCCTGAAGATCTTGCCCATATAGTCCCAGAGCTGAGCATATGTGAGATCTAAATCAAGGTTTTAAGAATATAGAAAAAATAGTTGTGTGCTGATGGCTTCTGAAATAAAATGCTGCATTAACCAGGCATGTCATGTGTTATCATGAGCATTGCTGAGAGGCCAGAGGATGATTCCCTGAAGCACCTGCTGTTACACATCCTGAGTGTCCAGTTCAACACCACTCCCACAGACCCACTGCCCCACTTCTAATTCACGAGCACAACAGAGATCATTTCAACAAGAAGCAGTTCAATGCTCTACGTGGCTGTGCTTGTAAAAGATCATGAACTATGGGATCCAGTGACTTCCAAGACATTTTAACTCTAGTTTTAAGCAGTTCAGCCAGGTTTGAAGTGAGACTTCAGTTTCCCCAGGGAATTAACTCTAGCATCCTGTTGGCATTCTGTTACCAACGCCAAGGTTTGGTTTTTTGTTTGTTTTTGTTATTCCAATGAGTTTTCACTTTATTCTTATTTTATTATGGAAAATGGCAAACATGTTCAAAAAGAGAAAACAGTTTAATGAATGAATCTCTTTATGCACATTACCCAAATCCAACAGTTACCAACTTATGACAAATCTTATTTTTTCTGTACTCTACCTTCTCCCCTCACCCTCTGGTAGAGAATCTTATCCCACATAGCATATCATTTCATCTTGTAATAGTTCAGATTGTACCTCTCAAACAGAAACACATAAATATTTACTTAACTATGGGACTACGTGTGCCCTATCCTCGGGCTACTGCTAAATAAATGGCAAAATATATTTATTTGGCCCTTAACATTGAATACAAATATCACACATTGATCCAGCTATAGGTACTGATAGCCAATGTGATAAGAGCACATGGGAGAGCAGTGGTGTATAAAACATAAAAATAGCCTCGATACCACTATTCTTTTTTTTTTTTTTTTGTGAGGAAGACTGGCCCTGGGCTAACATCCATGCCCATCTGCCTCTACTTTATATGGGACGCCACCACAACATGGCTTGACAAGCAGTGTGTCAGTGTGCACCCGGGATGCGCGCCTGGGATCCGAACCTGCGAACCCCAGGCTGCCAAAGCGGAGGCAACGCACTTAACCACTGCACCACCAGGCCCCTCAATACCACTATTCTAAGAAAAAATAATTGACTATAATTTCTTAATACCAAATACCAAGTCAGTGTTTCCAATTCCCTGATTTTCTTATAATTTCTACAGTTTGGTAGTTTGCGTTAGGATCCTATGTTGTTTATACACTGTGATTGGTTCATATGCCTCTTTGGTCTTCTTTAACCTATAGATTCCTGCTCTTTTTCTTTTCTTTGCAACACTGGCTTTTGTTTGTTTGTTTGTTTTCCTATAGAGTTTTCTACAGTCTAAATTTTGCTGATTCCATCTCTTAGGATCCTTTAACATGACTCGCTGCCTCTTGTATTCCGTGTAAATTGGTAGTTAGATCTAGAACTAAACAGGTTCGGGTTTGATATTTTTGGCAAGACTGCTTCACAAGTGGCTTAGTACATTTCCATTAAGAGATAATACCTAGTGTTTATCTAGTGGTCTTTTCTGTTGTGATGTTAGCTGCCACATTTATTAATTCACCAGAGGTTGCAAAATGACTATATTCCCATTTTATCATAATTTCTTCATTTGCTACTGGAATACTTGTGTAAAGGCTGACTACTCCCATCAACTGTTTGATTACTCTGAGATATAGCTCCTACAGGAAAGGCAGGATACAAGCATAACTCTTTCTTTCTTTTCAAAATAATGAGTTGGTTCCCTACGTTCTCCAAAAGTGACCATGCATTGTGTGTTGTGGGGTTTTAAGCCTCATTATGAACTCCTAGGTTTAAAAATATTGTAGATGTTTCAACTCATTGCAGTTATTGTTATTATCCTTATTGAGGCTCAAATTGCCCATCTTTGGAAAGACAAAGCTCATCTTTGTGGTTGTTGAGTCCCACTGCCACACCTCTAGTAGTTTCTGAACACTTCCTTGCTCCTTAGCATGATGAGATTTTCCGGGCTCGTCTTGTCAGTTCCAATCTCACACGCTTGGACTCACCCACTTCCTAAAGGGTGCTTTGATTTTTTGAAACAAATATCTTCAAACTGAACCATCTATAACCTTTGTATAGCATAAGCAGAAAAGCAAAGTACTGTGTTCAAAAAGAGAAGGAATTAACATTTCAGTTTAAAACATCTTGCTAATAGCTGAATTCAATTAAATTATAGGCCCAACCGTAGTTTTCTATTTCAGAGATCCTAATGTTCCCACAAAGCATAGTAATATGCAAAATACCTCTTTACAATACTCAGAAATACTGGCCAGTCCTGCAGGCATTTTACTTGAATTCCAATGCTAAAATCAGAGCAGGATCCTATTATAGTTTTTGTGTAATGCTATCAATTAACTCATATGTTGGCGACTCAAATAACTATTGCCCATGTCATTGTTAGGATTGCCTTGAAACCTTATATTTACATAGTCACTTCAAACCTTCAGAGTCCTTTGTTGCCGCAGCTGGTACCCCTGCTCTCTGGCTATGACCTCAGGGACCCCCAGGCCCAAGGCTGATTGGCCAGTGCTCTCCTTTCACTTTCACAGAACATCTTTTCAGTAAATCCCCACGTTTGGAAGAAGTTGTTACCATGTAACTTAGTTCGTCCTTCAAGACCTCTCCAATTCCCATCTCATCCTAGGGGTGCACATCATAGGTTGCAGTGAAGGCTAAAATGAATTGGAAGGAATCTACTTGGATTCAAAGTAGGAGATCTGGCAGTTCTGTGCTCTCCTCTCGTCACAAGAGCTTCAGCCATCTCCCAACCCCAGCCTGTTCCATCACTGGCACCAGAGGTCCTGGTCTATTTTAGTGGGACCAAAGGACCTAGCTTAAAATGGCCCAAGCATGCTCTATGTTACAGAAGATAACCTAATTCACTACAAACTAGGGTTACACCAATCCTCTGGGCTTTAGTAAATGAAAGGAAGATATGGGAAGAAATAGGTACGATGGATTTGATTCCAACATTCAACCAGGTAGATTATTCTGATCCTATAAATAATCCCTGTTATATTACACATAAATGTTACTCATTTCATGGATGAATAAACTCTGGCTCTCTATCTCACTGGTCCCTAGGCTTCCATTTGCCGAAATTCCTGGCTGGCCTCTGATTCTGTTGAAGAGATAGCTAGAAGGTAGAAATACAGGTGATCAGAACATCAGGCTCTCTGAATATACTCTGAATATACCAACAGTGTAACTGTTATTCACTGAAAAGTCCAAAAATCAAAAACCCATGCAAACGAGGCAAGTGGGTTGAGCTCATAGGAAGTTATGTAGAAATTAGAGACAATCAAAGGGTGGGTGGGATGTTAAACAGTAGGTAGTCACCCAACGCAGAAGGATGATTAGTTTAGACACCTAAACTGGTGCATTTGCATACTATAGTTTTGTGTGTATGTGTGTGTGAGGAAGATTAGCACTGAGCTAACATCTGTGCCAATCTTGCTCTACTTTGTATGTGGGTTGCCGCCACATTGTGGCTGATGAATGGTGTAGGTCCGTGCCCAGGTTCTGAACCCACAAACTGGGGCCACCCAAGCAGAATGCACCGAACTTAACTACTATGTCATAAGGCCAGCCGCTGCATATTACAATTTTTAAGGCACACTTGAAAAATAAAAAT